TGGGTTTCAATTGTGGTCATAAGCCAAGGATTACCTGTGTCCAGGGATGGGATTCAAATGTTTTAACAACCAGTTCTGTGGAAGCAAAGTACCAGCAAAGGAGGGGAAAAAACTCCAGAGAAGTTCCTGAGACAGGAAGTCTAGTCCTACCAAGAATGTAATAAGGGTTAACGGAGAGGCAGTTTCTGTAAGCAACACCAGAATGTTTCCTTCCTGCCTTCCTTACAGGATTAGGCCAGTAGTTTCTTCTAACAACCGGTTTTCCGAACTGCTTAGAATGTTAACAACTGGTTCTAGCAAATAGGTGCGAACCTGTAGAATACCACCCCTGCCTGTGTCTGAAAATACATTATGATCCCATTTCTCCTCTCCACCTGCATTCAAAATAGCTTTTGAACATTTTGAACATCTGTGTTTGAAAATTCTGAGTATGACACTGGAATTTCCAGAGATGAAAATAGTTCTGTAGCTTAGGTAAGTTTGCAAGTCTAGCTCTAGACCCTAAAATAACTAAGAATATGTCACAAAAATGCAGGTCAATTTATCTGTCAGGTTTTATGTCCTTTCCCATTATTCATTGGGAAAGATATGAAAAATGTAGCTCTTGCAGATGGCATTATTTTTAATTGTCGTAAAAATCCAATTTTGCAATCAGATAATCCATAACAAACATGGCCAGAAAAAAACAAGTTTTTACGAGTCCCAAGTTTTTGAAAGCTTAAAGCAAAGAAACCATTTAATCTAATCATAATTAGGCCATTTTAGACTTTTCTAACAGTTTAATTTGGTAAGTTGTCTACTGTGCATAGACAGATGACAAGGGAAAAGAATGCCAGCATTTAAATAAACGTGTGCCTGTGAAATTTGTCATCGTAGCAATTGTTTTTTTGTTTTTTTTAATGGTGTTCAAATACTTGACCTTTTTATGAGAAAATCACCATATGTAGCCCAGCATGGAAGTTTATTTCAGGGTTCTATTGCAAGTCTTGAACATTTGCAGCCTGTTAAAGAAGGACTAAAAAGTCTAAAAGCGACACAAAAAACCTTATTGTCTCCTTTAAAAGCAGAACTGACTCAAAAAAATCTCTTCACTCCTCTCAGAGATGCTAAATCCAGTGCCATCTAGCGAAGAAAAAAATGATAGTATTCACATGATTGACCAAATGAAGTTCTTCCACCATGCATTATGATGCAGTCAAAAAGGAAGCAAAGTAGAGAGGATTGAAATAAGCCCTTGGACCCAAAGTCACCCAATGACCTTCCTGAAAATGGATTTGAATCTGAGTTTCCCCCATCCTCAACCAACATCTAAACCACAGTCCTTCTTGAGTGAAGTACAAGTAGTCCTTGTGATGACCCAGGGCATGGCACAGAGATAACACAGGCAGCTGGCAATTCAAACTGCCCCTTTATTGCTCCAAATTTTCCCAAATGCTTCCATGTTTCTAGCAAGTCCCAGAGCAAAGTGATCTCTCTCTCTCTCTCTCTCTCTCTCTCTCTCTCTCTCTCTCTCTCTCTCTCTCTCTCTCTCACACACACACACACACACACACACACACACACACACACATCAAGCAGCTTCTGACTACAAATAGCCCAGCTCCGTGCTGTGAACACTACAGCTGCATAGCAAGACATCCAGCAGGGTAAGTTGAAGAGTCCAGGAAGAAAGGAGTATAGCAAGTAATCCAGAAATCCAGAAAGAATGCAAGGAATCCAGGAAAGTTCAAAAGTTGGCATTCAACACTCCAGGAATTTTGTGTTTGTTCCCGACAAATGCCCCTCCCCCACAGCATGGGGGACATTAAGTCTCAGTCCCCAGGTGTGCCTTGTGAAGAGGGGCAGGGCGCTCTCCTCCTGAGTAGTCGGCTCAGTCTGCACTGTTCTTGCCTTCTCTCCACTCTCCGTGCTCAAGGATCAGGAAGGGAGGTCCTGAGCTCTGTCTCTCATGTTCATTGCTTATTGCTTGGTCATCTTGCCCCTATTCCTTCCTGCCTACAAGCCGTCCTAGTCCTGAAAGGCCTTGGCCTGACTGGCCCTACTCCTCCCCATTTTCCTCTGAAGCCAACGAAACCTCCCTCTCTATCTCTATCAGCTCCAGTTCCAGCTTCTCTTCTCCCTGCAGATTCAGGCTCCGACGGAGGCATGACGGTCCTTGTCTTACAACAGTTCATTTAGTGAACTTCAAAGTTACAATGGCACTGAAAAAAGTGATTTTATGATGATTTTTCACCCTTATGACAGTTGCTGCATCCCCACAGTCATGTGATTTACATTCGGATGCTTGACAGCTGGTTCACATTGATGACGGTTGCAGGGTCCCGGGGTCACGTGATCACCTTTTGTGACCTTCTGACAAACCAAGTCAATGGGGAAACCAAATTCACTTAACAACGGCATTCCTGATTTAACAACTGCAGTGATTCCCTTAACAACTGAGGCAAGAAAGGTTGTAAAGTGGGGCAAAACTCACTTAACAATTTTTTTCATTAAGCAACATACATTTTGTTCTCAATTGCAGTCATAAGTCCAGGACTATGTGTAATATGTTTTGTTTCACTTGCCCATCACAGCTCTTCATTTCATTGCTTTTTAGTGGATTGTTTCATAAAGTTACTATTTAAAAGCAATCTTGATTTCATCTAGTATAATATCTAACCACCTTCAGATCTGAAGTAAGAAGATGGCACCAGGAAGTTGAAAGAGAGACTCACTTCTATCCTTATTGTGTTTACTTACAGGTATATTGGATTTATGTCAGTACCAACAATTTGCTCCTGACCCCTTTAGAATAAAATTCCAGAGTTTTGGCTAATGGCCACTATTGATTTCTCTTAGCAGTTTTCTGGAACCCCACATTCCCTTTTGTATTTCAATGTATGCCAGTTAAAAAGGCTGTAACAAAAGCATATAGGTGAAAAATAACATAATCACACAACCACAATGACCCAGATGCACACCCCAAGGCATTCCTTTCTGACTGTCTGGGGGTAGGTAGGCTATAACATATTTTCAGATTGCTTCAGAAAGAAAAAATGACTACTACCCATATGATGATATTTAGTTCTATATTTATGTTGCCTCCATATTCGCAAGATAGTGTTAAAAATGCTGCTTTGTATCTTTGGCCTTTTATGGGTCTGCAAAAGCAATGAAGAATAAAGCACCTTTGCATTATTCTCCATGCTTTTTTTCTTGCCAGATGATTAGACATGGACTGTGTCTATCATGCTGCTGAATCTGAAGCTACATACAATTCTATCCATTGCTACTTTTATCACACTGCTCTCTGTTTTTTGTTCTTCTGAATGGGACTGCTTTGTTGTACCCCAAACTTTGCTGGTAAAATCTAGTGTCTATTTGGCTATCAACCTTTCCTGTCAGGAATGTACTTTTAATCAACATTGCAACAACCTAACATTTAATGTGGGAAGCTTTCGATCGCTGCTTTGCTTGGTCTATCTTGAATTTTCAGTGATCAAATGAGATTACACAATGTGAGGCATCATTTTATCAGACATAAAAGCTTTGGAATGGAACCTCACTATTATTAAAAGGAGACTATGACAACTGACAATTAAACAGAGTTTAAATGTGGGGTTTTAACTGACATTGTATATCTGTCATTAAGATATATGTGCTGCTGCTGAGACATAGGCACTCTGAATAAATCATATTGAAATTTACTAGGATCAGTGCATAATATATGAAATGGTTGCTTAGAAGGATTTAATACCTAGCACAAAGTTTGATGCATTGGAATCTACCTTACTTTTCCTAGTGAAATACAATAACCTAAAATAGTAGAGTTGGAAAGGACCTTGGAGATCTTCTAGTCCAACCTCTTGCTCAAGCAGGAGACGCTATTTCATTTCAGACAAATGACTGTCCAGTCTTTTGTTGAAAGCCTCCAGTGATAGAGCACCCACAACTTCTGAAGTCAAACTGTTCCATTGGTTGATTGCTCTAACCACTGGTAATTTTCTCCTTTGTTGTAGACTGCTTCTCTCCTTGATTAGTTTCCATCCATTGTTTCTTATCTTTTCCTTTTGGTGCTTGGGAAATAAGTTTGACCAAAACACCAAAAGTCAAGACAAGAAACAATGGGGGTGTTTTTTTTGTATCAGAATGCTCAACGTTTTGTTTATAGAAAGGAATAAATTACCAATAGAATTACATTCATGATGCTCAAGTAGGCTGCCTTAATTATAATATATCTAATCTCAGTACATAAGCATTTGTGAAACTCTGCTGCTAATATTGAATTTGACATTAAGCAGCATCAGCACCAAACTGGAGAATATTCCTGAAACTTGAAGCCCTGTTTTACCCTAACAGTAAATAAATAGCTACCTTATCCTCAAGGGCACATTACCCAAACACAGGCTACGAAAAGAATGGTACAAAATCCTATCCAAACTAGAACTGAATTAGGAAAGTTACCTAGTGAAGTCACAGCTCAATAACAAGACGAAGATATGTTGATTAGAGCTTCCACATTTATTTCAGAAATAAGATACATTAGATGTGGTTTACAATAGGATTAAACTATTCCCCCTCCCCTGCACTGATAACTACCTTTTACATTCTGTTGTACTCAAATTAATGTTATAAATGTGTAGGGATGTGTTGCTTTGAAATACAGAACTCTTCGCAGAAAATTATCAAGAACATGCCTTTTCTTTTGAATGTTCTCAAGGTCTCCCAAATGGCTAACTATGATTGTGGAGAAAATTGATAAAAAAAAAAAAGGATCAAGATTTATTTTAGCAAAGTAAAACTCCATTGAAATAATTGGATGAGAAGAATTAGTCCTAATGAAACTGCCTTTCGACAATACCCACTAGATGGGCCAATGTGGCTAATTCCAAACTTGACTATGTTTTAAAAGTATTGTAGTTTTACAGTTATTTGTATGATAAAACTTTTGCTGAAACATCTGGGTTTTGCTTAGAAAATGCATGCATGCATACGATATGTTATGTGATATATTTACTTACAGCCAAAGAGAATTTCTTCCCTGTGTAATAACTCCTGTGAACTTTGTTAGCCTGCGAGCATCTACTTCAATCCATTGGTAGGGATCATTCCGTCCTGCACACCATGCACCGTCATAAAAATCATTCTCATTAATACCTGCCTGAAGAGAAGGCAAAACTCTCTTTAGAAACCTGAATAGATGCCTTTTGAAAAGAAATAAGTTCAGAGATAAAAGTAAGCTCAAGTAAAGTTATAGCGCAGTCTAGCCTCCATTCCCCCCCCCCCACACACACACACAGCTGGTGCTCAGAGATGCTTGTTTGTTGACTCTTAGAAGCCCTAAACCTGGATCTGTATCAAAGCACTGGTCAAGGCTGAAGTCTGTAACAGGAACAGATGGTTAAACAGAAGGCAGGATTGAACCGCAAAGCAAAAACTCAGAAACAAAAGGCAAAAAAGTTCCATCAGAAAAGGGTTGCATGAGGTTAAGTTTCATCTCTGAACATCTGAAAAGAAAAAGGAGATCCTTTAAATGTCTTTTGCTACCTTGCATATAATTATTCCTTTAACCTGATGGAAGTTTCTGGCTTTTTTTTAATTCAAAGATTTTGATCTATAGATCTTTCTGGGCTTTTTTTAATTAGAATATTTTGCTGCAGATCACCCATCATGCAGCATAGGAGCATGTCTTTCATGGTAATCAAAACAAGATGTTATATTTATAATTCTCTTAGAGTGCATAGTAGCCTTGAGTTTCATCCTTTCCATCATTTTCAGAGCTTTCTTACAATCTGTTCCAATAAATAACTTACCATACAAGATAAAAACTAACCTATTTCTTAGCATGGCACTGAAAATGGCTCACCACAATGCCACATTTTCCTATGAATCCTGGAACATCTGCAGATGCAGATGCAAGAAACTGCTCTACTTAGCATGGACTCAATCTCCGGTAGCACACAAATATAATTATTTCAGAACGTTCTAAGTGGTTCATTAAAGGACTTGACATTGGGTTTTCCAGGTGCTCCAAACTTCTAATCAAGCCAGATGTTTTGTTCCAGAAACACTCTGCATAATTGGACACTTCTTGTTATGAGCATCTGTACAATCAGCACCAAAGAATTAAGAAAGTACATTTTAATGCCAGCCTTTCTGATCAGCATCAAACTAAAGAGTGGTTTCTCTACCCTTTTAAGAAAATTTGGGGGGAATGATTCATTCCATGCATCTGACAAAGAAGCAACTTAGGAGTTGATAGTTGCTTGTAATATAATATTTGTAGAAAGGTTTTCAACATGCAGGAACTCTCCCAAGCTTAGATCAATGCTGTTTCCCCATATCTACATGACAACGAGGGATTTGTAGAGATATTGTGACAGTAATCCAATTAACAATTGTATCTGTTCCAGAAGAAATTATTCCAAGTAGGAGTTATATTGTTTCCTCTAGAGCTGCAGGACAAGTATGATCCCACTTCCAACAATCATGCTTTGGAGTAAACTAATTAATTGCTTTGTATTTCTATACTGCCAGCTCCCTAAGAACTTGAAGTGATTTTCAAGACAGCTAAATATACAACATTTGAACAAATAATGGGGTAAAGGAGAACTTGTGGGAGCAAAGGGTTAAGGTTTCTATATTGCTGTATTCACTATTAAGCAACATAGTATTATTTCCTTTTGTTTGTTGGAACAAAAGTTCATCTGGTTCAGTTCCAAGAAGAGAGAAAGACACTGGAAACATGGAGGCTGATTGGAAAGATGGTTTAATGAAGCAGAACCAACAAGTACATGGTCCTGGTGCAGCTGATCACATGGAGTTGAGAGAGAGAGGTATTTATACCTCTTTTGGGCTTTGAACTTGAGCTTTCTGTTCCTGTGCAAGAAAATGTATTCTATTTGCTGCTTTCAGATTCCCATGGGGCTATGCAGGGTCATGTCTGTCTGAATCAAGTTTGGTTAAACCTTGGGCTGATGCAATGTCCTTAGATTTTGCAATGCAGTGAGCCCTGCTGCTAGATAATCCTATAATGTCCTGGAGTGTCATGTGTTAATCCCATCACCCTGGAGCTGAAGGTCTTGTCCTATCTGGATGGCTGGTGGCCCAGTTCTGCTAGGGCTATTGACAAAGGTGGGAGCTGCTTTCCAAGAGCATGTTTCTCTTTTAGGGAAATACAATATTCTTCCTTTTTTAATATTTCCCAAAATATTTCACTCTTCTAGGAGACAGGTGAGTGCTAACTTTGTACAGTTTAAAATGGTATTACTTCTTACGGTGGTTAAAAAATGAAAGGCATTTACGAGTGGCTTTTCAAAAGATTCATTCTATCTATCTATCTATCTATCTATCTATCTATCTATCTATCTATCTATCTATATCTATATCTATATCTATATCTATATCTATATCTATATCTATATCTATATCTATATCTATATCTATATCTATATCTATATCTATCTAT